TTTTTTTTTTTGTTTTTTACAAAATCCTTTTTTATATTATTTGTTAAATTAAACTTATTATTTAATTAATTACTTAATTAATTCATTCATTTATTCATATTTTCATTCATTCATTTGTCCGTCCGTCTGTTCGCTTGCTCGTTCGCTCGCTTGTTCGTTCGTTCGTTCATTTGTTCGTTCATTCATTCAGGGTAATTCATTTATTTTAATTCAGAAATTTCTATTTAAATAGCAAATGTGCAAAATCCCTTTATATCATACGAATTATTTGAGAATATAGGTACAGTATTCAATTTAGGCCTACTTAGAAATATACGCCTCTCTCTCTCTCTCTCTCTCTCTCTCCCTCTCGAATAAACACAACCCTCGAATACACGCTCTCTCTCAAAATCCACGAGTAATAAAATCCCATTATCCCAGGAACCTTCAAATAAATATGGTACGTGAAAAGATTTTTAGGTCTAAACTATGGGCAGAACGGTCTCAACCCTTGATTTTTGAGTGGCGGATTACATCGATGTCAATAATCTCTTTATGTTCACTATCGAACGATATTTTGTTTACAACAATACCAATAAAAATAACGACCTTGAACTAAATATATTATTATCTTCATAGGTTATGTATTTTTAAAATAGGCCAACGTTTTTCTTGTTTTGGCGACTGGTTTCCTTTCTCAACTGAATCCCTTTTCGAACGACCAATACCGACCTTGGGTTCTAAATATTAGTAACATTGTGCACTTTAAGGTGTTTTCATGTTTGTCCTTAAGTTTCCTTTTGCAATTGATCTATTTTAACAAAAAACAATAGCAACCTTGGGTTGAACATACAATGTTGTGTATTTTTAACGTTTAAATTATTTTTCTCGCAACTGAATACCTTCGCAAAAAAACCGATAGCGACCTTGGGACAAAATATGATCATTCTTATAGATTAATTGTGTATTGTTAAAATAATGTATTATGTTTTGGCCTACTGTTTCCTCTCCACGTAATCAAATCCTCTATGAAACAATAGGTTCAGTGACACTAAAAACCCAGACCTTTGCATCCATGCGGGCTCAATATGCACGTTATACGGCGACCTTGGTATATATGGAAAAATGCATACCTTTAGCGTAATTTAGAAGCATTTTTAGATTTTGCTTCTGAATGCTTCGTCGGCGTTCCCGGGTGTCTGGTTCACTGGGATAAAGAAGGCTTTTCGAGCGCTGACTTTCAATCTTATAAAACTGCATTACATTTTCTTAAAAGTGATAAATTATTTATGTTTTAGTTTTCTGTGACGATTTTTTTTTTCTATTAAAGTTGGCTCCTCACAACTATGTTGTACTAATAAATATTCTAAAACCTTGAAGGGATATTCAAAAATAATTTGGAACAGTTAATAATAGGCATATAGGCCTAATACGAATGTTTGAATTAAAAATCTATGTAAACAGTTTCAAAATTGCCCATTGTTTTTATACCCATTGCCTAATAGGTCTATTTCAGGCCTACCACATATAAAAAAAAATAAAAGAAAACCATCCAGTGCCTAAATTTTCTGTCATACCAATAATATTTATGCGGTTCCTATACTATTCGCGTCATTAAAACAGTAATTTAATTACAAGTTTTAACAAAATAAATGTAGGCCTACTAGCATCCACTTGCCTGGAGAAATTTATAATTTAACCAGTCCATTTTTGGGCAACTACTCTAATTGCCACGTGATTTAACCCACCAATAAAGATTCACGAACCGCTTTGTTCGAATAAAATTACAGATAACGTTGACATGCCTACAAAACTAGTTTGACTTGCACGGTACGCTTCATTTTCAACATGAAAGAAAACCGACATGGTAAATTTTTTTCAATAAAGATATGCCTATAGATTTACTCTCTCTCTTTCTCTTGAGCATATAAACTTAAAGAATAAATATTTGATTTCCTTACTTGTATATTGTGCTACAAGTTTTTATAGCTTTCAGTTGAACATTAGAACGAGAAAATGTTTTTTTCTCTAGCCAAATAACAGACGCTTGAATAATACAATTCTATACATTCTTTGTTAGACCCTTAATCGGCTGCTTATCAAAATTTTCAAATTAAAGTCACTGAATCAAATAAAACTAAATTGTTTCGATCTGTGTCTGAACAAAAAGACAATAACTTATGTGTGATTAAACAATTCGATGCTTTAATTACAAGGATTTTCTATAATTAAATCAGGCTATATTTAAAGTAAGCAATACAACCTATCTGATTATAGCATGAAAAAGGTATTCACGTATAGTATGTGGGATTTATATAGCGCATAATTCCGATATATCTATGCACTGAGAGAACCGAAAAGAAAAAGGGGAAAAACTAAACAAGGATCTATCCTAAATTAACCTATAGGAACAAAAACCCAAGACAACACAAGCTGGGGAATCAGAGTAACCCCACCAGTCTTTCCAGTTGAAATACAGTATCAGCAATTGGCTCATAATTCAAAGGTGCACAAATAAAACGGCATTTGGCTTACCTGACCTAAAAACAGGAAAAAAAAAGTAATGGGAAAGAAAAGGAGAATCGAGAGACTAAAATGCAATGGTGTGTTTTTAATCTTTTCTTAGTGCCCATGATTAGTGGGGCCTCAATAAGAATGAACATTTACTTTAAACTTTATTTTATACAGCAATCAATTAATCAATTAGGCCTACTT